CTCAATGCCTCCAGTAACTGTTTCCCACTGGACACCATCCATAAGTTGACCCGGCATCATAAGGTTTTGTTCACGCCCCCTGCCTCTAGACACTAATGGTTCCCAACCAACTCAATTCTCTCTTTTCCATGATCCTTTAAATATTCCCGCTTGGCATCTCCAGACTCATCAAACCTACCAGTCCTGAAAAACCCAGGGTTGTAGTTTACAAGATACCAGTTCAGCAGGAAGAGATTTACAAATGGTGAGCCCTGAGCCCTAACTTAATGAATCACCGCAACCCCGGAAAAACTAAAGAGAGGTTCCCACAGTGGTTACAAGCATGGGTTCTGGTGCCTGGCTGCCTAAATTCATAATCTTGGCTCTACTGCTTACTGGCTATGTGACTGAAATGCTGTGCCTCGGTCTCCTCATTTGTGAAATGGGGACAACAGTACAGAAATCAATGGTTTATAGTAAAGGTTAAATGATCAACTCGAGTAAGCATTCAGAGAGTCCCTGGCCAATAGAATGAGCTCAAACATGTTATTATTAGTGATAGTAGTACTTTTCATTATTAAGGAATCTGTGTCATCTTCTACTTGAATGATACTACCTGAGAAACAAATAATTCTGATTTTTAAATAATGTTGTGAAACCTCATTAAATATTTATCTTCAGGGATCTCGTGTGGCAGTTACCTGAGAAAAATGAAGTTTGCAGTTTAAAGGGATTTATTTTAGGTTACATCCAGGATCAACATCAAAAGGAATAAATTCGAATCACAGTACTATACAGGTTAAGTATAAACGGGCACTAAAAGTAAAATTATAAGTGATCTCTAGTCTGCTCCTATGTCAAGAACTGAGGAATAAATAAAGTCAGTGTGTATACAATTTGAAAATATAGGAGAAAGAATCTAGGGTATTCTTGAACTTTTAATTTTTAACATCACAGAATGACACATCTTCAAGGGATTTCTAAAGAAAAACAAACACACAACCCCCCCCCCCCACTCAGATCCAATCTGTTGCAAAAGGCAGGCTGGAGAGCAGATTTTTGGAGCATGAAAACCTATAATCCATTATTTGAAATGGAAAAATAGTCATGCTTTCCTAACCTGTCAAAAGAACCCCTATCATTTTTAATAAATATCATTAAAACACTCAAACACTCATATAACCATTCATAAAGAATCTTTCCAAATATAAAGTATTTTAAACACTGAATGCCAGAGTCTTTCTGAAGTTTTCTTTAGTATTCTGAAGTAATACTTCCAGGAGTTTTTCTGTATTTTCTTACACATTGAAAATATTAGTGCACAATTCTTAGAAGCTGAGCATGACCACTTTATGTCAGCCCATCTCTCTCAACGAGCTTTATCACTTCGATTTTTTTCTTTGCATGTATGGGCTGTTCAGGCCTCTTGGGTTCACTGATTTTATTCACAGGCTCTTCGCTTTCTTAGAAGACACTTCCACTCAGTAACGTGGTAAGTTGAGAGCACTAATGTGCCTACCAGGAGAGCAGTGGGGCCAGGGGTGGAACAAATTCTCCAACTTCTGGCCTGGCTCCACCTATAACTTGAATGTTTCTGCTAGCCCACACGTGTGAATTCACCATAATGAGATCTTTGATTTAGGTCGTGAATTCCAGGTAAAACAAATCTTACAAGCTGTTACAGCAAATGTTTAGATAGCAAAGCTTCCTAGTGAGGATGCCCACAGAGGTGTTTGGAACCAGTGTCTCAGTTGCTAAAGCATTTATGTGTATGTCGATGAGTATATGTTGACACTAAAACTGCCCCATCCGAAATGAAACCCAGATAAAACTTTCATTCAGGAGGGAAAACAAAACAAAATAAAACAAAACAAAACAAAACAAAATAAAACAAAACAAAACAAAACATGCTTCATTTACTTAGAAAAGTGTGCTTAAAAGAATTGAAAAAATCCACTGTTTCAGAGAAGAATTTTTACTAATATCAATAAAGAGCTTCTGATAGACATAATAATCATTCTGCAAAATTTCTTTTAGAGACAATTATTGCTTTGAGCTTATTTTTTAAAAAAGCCATCTAAACTCCAGCTTTGTATCAGGACTTCATCAAAATACTTCTAGCAAAATTAAGATGGGCTGGCCCACTGCAAGCTTGGTCCTCAACATACACTGAATGTGCATGCTTTTTCTGTTTAGGAATAGAGTGTTCAGTTAGGACTTGCCTGTTTTATCTCAGTTTGAACTTTAGGTCATATGATTTATAATCTCATATTCTGTCTCTGATTAATAGTCCATACCCTGTCAAGAGAGGCCAGAGTAATGCAGGCAGCTTGCAAGGAAACGAGTGCATAAAATATGGTATTGAATGTCAAATCAATTTTTCTAAATTAATGTAAAATATACATACCAAGAATATGCTGGGAAAATTAATAAGACCTTAGCTGCAAAGACCCTTGCCTGTCTAAAAACTACAACAAGAGGATACTAAAAGTGCTAAAAATCTTGCTTACACTCTATTTTAATGAAGCTAGGCCACTCTGATGACAAGAATGTGTCTGGGAGGGAACAAAGGCTCAACTAGATCCAACGACAGTCAGTGCAAACAGCGGAAGACAGAACAGTATCGGGCTTTACAAACAGAGAGAAAAGCTAAGGGTCCAAGTCAAAGAAAGAGAGTAATGTTCTCCCATCTCCTAAGGAGGAAGAGAGAACAGACCTCAAATGGAGTTGGGATCAGAAATGAGAGGCCCAGCTGAACCACAGCTCTTCCTGATTCTGTCCCCACCTCTTGGAGAGGTTTGGAGACAGCGTGGGGATGTATTAATCCATTTTAAAGGGCTGAATTGTTTTGAGAAAATAAGAGGATTTTATGCTTTGATTTACATAGAGCCCAGAAGACTCTATCTTCATAGAACTTCTAAGAAATCTTTCAACAATATTTCTTAGAAAATGAGCTAAAAAAATGAGGTTTGGGCCCTCAAACACACGGTCTTACTAAAAGTGTTTGTGTTTTAATGAACCTGTGATTTTTAAGAAAAATTTTTTTCAAAAGTACTAAAACTAAGGCAATCAAAACATTCCCACTCAAGGTCATTTGATCAAGAACTCTGGATATTCTTCTAAGGTTTGGAGAGACCACTATTTAATTTTATAAATGACTAAGAACATATGTTTTAAGTTGCACATGGAGCTTCTCAGCAAGGTCAAGTTTCCAAAGAAGAGCCATTTAGGAACTGCTCACTCCCTCAGCGTCAGGGTCCACTCTCAGACTCAACCAGTGACAAGGAACATGCAGGGACCCCTCTATGGACCTTCCGAGAGCATTGGTCCAGCTGGACTCCAGGTCCCTTACTGCTCGGCTCTGACTTCCAGAGGAAGCTGTTACCAGCTCACCTCCCTTTCCGCATCTCTCTGCCGCTTGACAGCAGCTCTGGCAGCACCATGGGCCTCCAGGGAGAGCTACGCTGAGGGGCACAGCAGCGAAGCAGTGGCTGAAGGGACCCATGAACATGGGATGTCAGAGTCGCTGGGACATCTGCCAATTTGGTGCCAGCTGATGCAGGTTGTCACCAGTGACACTTTGCAAAATGAGCAGGATGTTTAAAAAGAGAGAGAGAGCTCTCTTTAACTCACATAGTAAACTCTTTATCTTGAATATGAACACGTGATAAGGAAAAAAAAGTCATTTTCAGTCCATGCTACCCTCTAAGCAGAGGTCCTGGTAACTGTGGTATCTTTTGTTTGCCAAGCACAACTGAAATATTCATCTTTGGCATTAATGGCTTTTGACATACTTGCAGCAGGATTAAGCAGTGGGTGGGGGTGTGCACATTTGGAGACAGAAGCTTAGAAAGACCTAAACTGTTCTGCGGAGGAAGGGGAGGGAGGTTGGGAGCCAGGAGGGAAGGCTGAGAGAGAGACTGGGAAGGGGAAAGAGAGAGGGACTCCTAGGGGCAGCAGGGCTGAGGAGAGACCTGGGGCGTTTTCAAAGATATGGTACAATTTCACCTGTACATTGCTCTATAAGTCATGACATGTATTTTTAGGGTTTTTTTTTTTTGGTGGGGAGGGGCAGTAATGAGGTTTATTCATTTATTTATTAATGGAGGGACTGCAGATGGAACCCAGGCCCTCGTGCATGCTAAGCAGGCACTCGCACTGAGCTATACCGTCCCCCCATGAATTCATATATTTTAAGTGACAGCGTGAAGCCATAATATTAACCTGTTGGAAGCAAACACGTGTCTTGGTCCATCCCTGTTTTCAGGCTCCATCCCACCAGGAGCTCTCCTCTGCAGGACCGTCACTCCTTGCTTCATCTTACCCAGTGCCTGGCCCAGAGTCTGCAGGCAGGGGCAGACCTCGCGGGGGAGTGGGCAGTGTCACATAAAAGGGACAGGAAGGTGGAAACGTACAAGAGGAGGCTCCTCTGGTTGAGATGGACTTCCTTCATGAAAGACCTTTCCCAAGGTATGCTGGAGTTAAAACTGGACCACAAAGGCTAGTTACTATATAAGTATCGATAAGCAAGATGTATAGGTTGGGGCAGTCTAAGGAGAAAAACAATGTCTAAAAGGACAAAAGCATAAAGTAGAAAATGAGATGAAAATCAGGAATGGAGTGTTGTAACTACAGCAGCTAGAAAATGTATTGTTCAGTTTAATCCACACAAATATGGACTTCCAAGTGTGAGGCACGGAGTATCTTTTCCTTCGCTGACTACAGATTTATGCCCACAAAGGGAGCCCAGCTCACGCCGCACACTGCGGGGACGAGCCCCGCACGGTCCACCGCTGTCACCGCCGCGTGCGCGCGCGCCGCCCAGCACCCGGAGGGCCGCGGACGCCCAGGGGCTGCAACTCCCATCCTTCACAGCCACGCGCCGGGCGGAGAATGAACTTCCCATCAGTAATAAATGCCTCGGCCTCACGTGCTGTCTTTGTCTCACGTGAAGGTAACAGATTCCCCCAAAGGATGCAGGGCCCCAGGAGCGAGGTGAGCAAACTAAGCAGCCTTTTATCTGCTCTTGCGATGTGATCATCTACATTAACCTTCCAGCGATGGTGGTGTCCAGGATATGTATTTGGATGACGGAGTCCAGTCCAATCTTTCCTTTCCCCTGGTTAGGTGAAAACAAAGAGGGAGGCACAGGCGGGGGTCCCTTCGCCCGCCCCCGGCCCTCCCCTCCCCCCTTACACACTATTACCGGACTATTTCCCTCAACTCTCCAATAAGCTAGTGAAGAAAGATGCAGACAGAATAGCCAGACTCCACACTTCCGCTGACATTTAAAGGTCAAGTCTCCTTGTATTACTGTACATAATGGTATCTCCCTCCCGCATGTGTGAAAAAGATGGCTGTCAGAATTACTGGAGGGAGGGGGAACCTTTGAAAGTTCTCTGGGGCAAAAGGACTGGATTTAGTGCCACTCTGCCCAACGCTTAGGCTGAGATAGCTTATTTCCTAAAACAAAGAGTTAAGGAAAAAGAAAATCAAAGGATGAATTCATCCAGCAGTTGTTTTTCACTTCTGTTCTTTACTGATTTTAATATGGTTACCCTCTCAATAACGACTTCTAAAAAAACTGGACCAATGCCCTAAGAAAGTTCCAGTTTTCAAACATTTCCTTTCAGAGCAGAGGCTTTTTCTTTGACTGCTGGGCCCTTAGTGCCAAAGATCAGGTGTCACCTCTGAAAGAGATTTCATCTGAGGGAAAGCCATTGGGCTAAGTTCCATTCAGACTTGCCCATCTGAAGGAAGAATTTATTTAGGAGGAATCATATATTCAGTATGTGTTTCTTTCAAAATGTACTCTCTCTGCCCTCAGCGCTCATGGAAACCTCTTAGTCCAAGAGCTAAAAGCATCCCAAGGACGTTCTGTTTACTCCCCAGCGTCTTCACTTCAGTTCCTTCACTGTGAACTTGTGAGTGATCCTTGGTAGAGGCTCATGTCTGATAATGAATAACAACTTCAATTGTGTTTATTGTATACCAAATGTCAGGCTTTGTCTCATTTGATCTCTGCCACAGCCCTTCAGGGCAGGAATTATCTGCATTTTACAGATGAGGGAACTGAGGTTCAGACTGATTTTTGCAACTAGTTCAGGGTGGCTGCCTGAGACACAAACCCAGGTCTGTCAGAGCTGGATCCACACAAATCTACTCCAGGGATGACGTTATTGCCTCCAGATCCTCACAGATGAAGCACAGGTCAAATGCACTGTGCATTTACTTCCGGTAACACGCTGATCACGGGGTTTGTTTTCAGAGCTAAATGTCTGACCCTTACCCCAAAGCAGGAAAATTGACGGAGAGATTAAAGTGATTTTAAATTTTATAAGGACATGAAGAATTTCCATGTAGGGACACACGAGGGCACTCTAAACTTCTCTCAGTTGAGGACACAACTGTTTTTTGTTTTTTGTTTTTTTTGCAGTTACCACAGCTCATAGCCTTGAATCCCAGTGCTGGGTCTGCTCTGATTACTTGTATGAACTTCAGCTTTTAAGTTCAGACTGGAGCTCAGTTTCTCCTTTTGCAGATTTAGGAAGGTGGGTGAAATGAACTTCAGGGTCTCTTCTATCTTAAGAGTCGAAGGAGTCTAACTTATGAGCAGCTAATTACAGGAATTTATGACCCTATTTTAACAAGGATCATTAATCACTGGAAAGAAATAAGACGTTTCTTTTATACTTGCTACACTTCAGGAGAAAATGTGCTTGTAGATTTAACTGATCATATTTGCAAAATATCAAATCATTCCCAGGCCTGACAGTGGCATTTATTTATTTTTGGCTCATCCGAGAATTTCATCAAACTGCTGGAGAAATTCTCTCCCCTCACACCGACTTGGACTCTCACTTTCAAGAGGACCAACTTCTTGGATCTGCACCACGCTGATTGAACACATTGGCCAGTAGCTCATTTCTTTTAGCATTTAGGTGACAGTTCCCTTCACTCCAAAATGACTGGCATTTCATTGCTTTATGGGACATTTCTATGAAGTATATTGTGAAGACTTTGAAAAAAAAAAACACCTTCCTAATCACTTAGCTCGGCTGAAAGTTTCCACAGGGCAGGGTTATTTTAAGATTCATCTGACAAACAGCCGAATGGCTGAGATCCACGGAAGCTCCTCAGCTAGATCCCCTCAGATCAAGAAGGGTTTTTCCCTCTCCTGTAAATGAAGGGCTAAGCCAGGAGCTCTGACAGAGGACAGGGGAAAAGGAGGAGGGAAAATCCAACAAGGAGGAGTCTAAATTACACGAAATGATGGGTTTACAGGAAATTTGTACATTACACACAGCGGGCAAAGTGAAGGAAAACACATTTCCCCTGGAGGACGAGGCTTCTGACAAGCGCACACCTGCAAAAACCCTCTGCCGTTCATTCCGCCGAGAGGCAGAAGGACGGTTTCTCTGCTGGAGCCTTGCTGAGTGATTACTACACCGTCCACTTAAACCACTGGGTTGTTTTTGTTCCGAGTCAATAAAAAGCCTCCTAGATGTCTGTTCTTGGGGGGAAAAAAAGTGACTTGTTCAGCTGGAACAGGTTAGCAGGCAGTCCTTCAAACACAACCACCCTCGTGGGCGCTCAGGCATTAGAGTCCTGGCATGGAAGCAGATGCCTCGGATGAAAAGAAAACTGCTCTGTATTCCAACCAACAAAAGGAACCAAAATTACAGCCCAGCGCTAGGTCAATCTCCAACTCTACAAATACCTTTTATTCAGATGCAATTAAATGAATTTAGCAAGACCAAGTTTTTACAATTCTAGTATTGTTACTGGGATTTTTGTTGCAATTTGCTTAACTTCTCTGTACCTCAACATCTCCATCTGTAAAATGGAGATAATAGTACTTACATCACTGAGTTGTAAAGATTAACTGGGTTTACAGAAATCAAGTGGAGAATTTCTCAGGTGCCTAGTAAGTGCTTTGTAAGTGTTATGTAAGCAAGCTCTTCTGCATATTATTATTATTATTAAAGCCCTGGGACCCCGTGAGAAGACTTTGCAATGCAGTTACAAGATTTTGTCTCCCCCTAGGCACTGTTACTGCATGTCCTAGTTTCTCCTTAAATTAACTAGAAATATCTGCTCTTTGTGCTTAAATTCATTGTAGCTATTTCAAGATTGCATGTCTCTCTCCTCTTTTGTTCCGTCTCTTTTTTCTATAGGTACTTTATTCTGAGACAAGCATACAGAGATGACAAAACACAGTTGTGTATGGCAGAAAACAGGTCCCAAAGGCATATAAATGTCCCATAATGGAGGTGTGCACAGAAGCAGTTCTTGAGCTGTTTCTCGCAGGATGAATTGTAATTGGCCAAGTGAAATAGGGGGTATTGAGGGAGGATGACATGGTTGTGGAAGGATCATGCTGAAAGACTGGAGACTTGAAAAGAGACAGCACATTTTCTTTCGGGCCTAAATTGTCACTGGCTCCCTAGAGTCTACAAGGTAAAGCATAAAGCACTCAGTACCATGTTGAAAACCTCTCTCAGTCTGTATGTCTAGTCCTTTTCCATTTCTTTCTCGTGTCACAGTAAGTGACAGTCCTGCTCTGTTCCCTGAAGGTGCCCTTGCTCTCCCATCTCTAATTTTACTCGTGTGGTTCCCTCTGTCTGGAATGCCCTCCTCCCCATATGGAAATCCTGCCTCCCTCAGTGCAGCTCCCAGGTGCCCTCCTGCCGCAGCTGTCCCTTAACCCCTACTTGGAAGGAACCTCTTTTTTTCCCCAGGTCTCTGGCACAGTTTGCTTGTTTCTTTACTGTGGTACTCACCTCTTTCTACTTTTATTGGTTTTACTTGATCCTTACTATCTCCCCTACAAAATTATAAACTACACCTTGTTAATTTTTTAAAGATTTCCTATAGTATCTAGTGTGATGCTTGGTACATACTAGGCAATCAAAAAGGATTGCTAATAATAATAGCTATATATCCAAAACTTATGCTTGGCTTGTGGTAGGCAATATTCTAAACACATTGCATGTATTACTTTATTTAATTCCTAAGCACATTCGTTGTGTAGTAAAGAGTTTAAGCTTGCCCAGGCAGAGGTCTGGCTTTTGTCCTTGGCCCCTGGGAGGTAATCTCTTAAGCCCTTGGAATATCCTGCCTGATATCTTTGTTTACCTGGGAGCCTTGGGGCCACATCAAAAAGTCTAAGGATGAGATTTATGGTGGGGAGGATTGAGTCACTCAGGAACAGGTTTGGCCTGGGAGGCTGAATGCTGAGATCAGCCTTGTGGACCCTCAACAAAGACTCTGGACACCAAGGGTAGGGCGAGCTTTCCAGGTTAGCAGTGCTTTGTGCATACTGTCACATATCAATACCAGAAAAGCAGCACTGTCCATGACTCCAGCGGAGAGGACAACTGGAAGTTGCACATTTGAGACTTTCTAGGATTCTTCACTTAGCTGGCTGTAGTCTATGCCTCTAGCTGTAAAAGATGGTAATGGAGTATAGCAGCTTCTGGTGAGTTCTGTCAGTCCTTCTAGCAAATTGTTGAACCTAAGGATGATCTTGAGGACCCCCAAACTTGCAACTGGTGTCAGAGTGAGGATGGTCTTGTGGACTGTGCTTCCTCTTTGCACTTGTGAAATAGGTACTATAATTATTCCTATTTTACAGATGTGAAAAGTAAGTGACAGAGAGGTTAAACATTTTATTTGAAGTCACATGACTAGTAACTAGGATGTGATCCTAAGTCCAGCAACACAGAACCCATACCCTGAACTATTTTTTCTACTGCCTCTGATGTGAGTAAAAATTAAAGATAGATATAAGCTAAAAAACAGTAAGAAAAGACATAAAAATGAACATGTCCTTAAATCTGAAGATGTTTAGGGCAGCTTTTGCACAAAAGCACCTCATATTATGACTCAGGTATTTAATCTCTATGAATATTGCAATAAATTTGATCTGAACAGACTGTAATTGTGCTTTCACAATATTTCTGTGGCCTGACCTAAGAACATACTTATTTGTAAAAATATGTACGAGAATTGGGCCTTATGGTTATTGAACATAGCCAAAGATTTATTAAAAAAAAAAAAAAAGAAACCCTTAGAGTCCTCAGGAACATGGGAACAACCTCATTGTCTCTTGTCTTTCCATGTTAATTACTTGTATGTGACTCAGGTCATGGTCATTTGTCTGTGACTCAATCAAGCAGATTTAACTGCTCTTTGCCCTGTGTTTCTACCGCATCTTATTCATACCTGATGAACTTGGGACACTGGCTTGGATTATCTACATGTCTGTCACTGACAGCTGACTCTGAGATTTTGAGGGTGGGATCATGTCAAATTCACGCCCATATCCCCATACTTGGTAAGTTTCTGGCAGATAGTAGGTGCTGAACACACGTATATAGAATAAGGGCAAGCACTCTCGCTTACTTGAACAAACAGCTGTTTAGAGAGTTGCTTGGGGCAGATGAGCCCAGCTCTCCTGATCCTTTCCCCAACTTCTCTTTGGTCCATTCATCTTCTTTAAATAGGCAGAGTTCGCTCTCCGCACCTTCTCTCCCCCAGCACCTGTATGCCCCCAATTCCGTTTGTCCCCATTTGTCCTTCTATCTTGAGTTATCTGGGTCAATGAAGAGGAATGTGTTAGAAAACACAGAGGACAAAAATAAGCCAGAAAGGATGACGAAAGGAGCAGCTAGAATAAAATATTGCATTAAACAATTTAAAAGGAAAAGTCCCAGAGAATAGATTTCCCGCAACTTATGTGTGTATAAATTATCTCATAATAGCATCTCCTTGGGGCTTCCTGTCTCATGCACTGAAGTTAAGTCCTTGGGAAAAATCAGCATTTGTAGAGAACTTGACTCCATGTTGACCACTGCAGAAAGGCTGAGGCATCTCTAGGATATACAAAACAGAGCCAGTATGGGCCCAAGGTTCAAGATCAGGGGACTGGTTAGCAGGTTCCCAAACCGAAGAATAATATCTTTAAAGCTTGCTAACCCAATGGGATAAACTTCATCCATCAGACTTGATTATTTTCCATGGGGTATATGGGGGCGTATTAATAACCATTAAACTGCCAGCAAAATCTGACAGGGCCATGTGGACAATTTAATTTTTAATCACTTGCCTATTTAATTCATAATTATTCACAGTGCAACAAAGCAACTGTGTTCTGAAGCAAGGCAGAACATGTGGAAGCAGAGGATGTTGATCAACATATTTTTCCTGGGCTGAGAAGCCAAGGGGCATCCCACTGGCTGAGGTCAGACATCAGCCTGGGAATCCAGAGGGCTGGTCCTGGTCTAGCCCAACTGGCTAGATGAGCTAGAAAAAGTTGAGGTAAATCAGAGGTTTCCAGGGTACTTTCAGCCTGGAGTGCTGCCAGATGAAATATGTATATATAAAAACAAATGCGAGTGAGTGTCTTTGGTTAAAGGATTGTCCAGACAATCCCACTCCTGGCCTTAAGGTGTCCTAGGGGGCTTCAAGGGGGAGGCAACCCTCCTGAGAACTCTGCAGGCCGCCAGGGGAATTCACTGCCGTGGAGAGTCTCTCTATCAGCCCCTAAGGCCTCTGATTTATGTGAGTCAAAGGGTTTTTAATTCCGTGGGAGGCATTTTAAAGCCCTCTAGGTATAGCTAGGTATCTATTTTTCTTTGAAAGACTTTCTCTTCCTTAAATGTTCAATAGACTCTAATCCCCAAATAAGATACTGCTATAGGTAATTCATTAATAAGAGATTCTTCCTCTGTTTTGCTAATTATCCCCCTGCTCTGTCTCTGAACAGATGGCATCATCTTTGGTAAAGTAACACCTCACAAGGGGCACTTGGTCATCCCCTGATGAGCCTTCTCAGTTTTGTGATAACCAAGTTTTAACAGCCTTTCAGTTTTAACACACAAAAAAGGACTACTTTGAAGGTTTAGGAGGAAAACAGGGAGATGTTTAGGGTAGGAGAAAAAGTGACATTAAACATTTTACTACAAAATTCTCCTGCTTTTATTAAGCCCCTTTGTGTAACCCTGGATGTCAGTGTGTGAGATAAATGGTATTTGATGGTGTGGTAAAGGAATAACAGCTTCCATTTCACAGCTGGTTTGTGGTGTAGTGCACACAGCTAGCCCCAACCCCGCCCCCAAGTTGCCAGTATGGTAGGGGAAACAGTGAAACAAGAAATGACAGAATTCATGCAGAATGCACAGAACACTAGATGAGCTTGGGAAGGTCGCTTATTTGGGACTAGAAATTCAGGATGGATTTCCTGAAAGAAGTAAAAATTTAGTTCAAATCTAAATATATATATATATATATGTATATATATATGTATATATGTATATATATAAAGACACAGAGTTCAAACTCAGAAAAAAATGAAGACACAAATTTCAAACTCAAATCATCTTAAATAGAACTTAATAGTAGCTGTGAATGAGGGTAGGGGTTTGGGCAAATTGTGAAATGTAAGATTTATCTCTGAAATCATTTCCACTGGGAGCTCTCCATTCCTTCTCCCAATTCTGATATGTCCTACAGGTACTTCAAACTCAGCATGTTCCAAACTAAGCGTATTTGCTTCCCTCCATCACCCCTAAACCTGCTCCTTCTCCTGTATCCCTCTTTCTGGGAATGCCGTCGCCCTTCTCCCAGTCACCCAAGACAGTTGTACCTTCTCTTTTACCCTCCAACAAATCGCCAAGTCCTGCTGATACTTCCTCCTATATATCTCCTGCTTCTGTCCCTTTCCTTTCATCCACAGTCACTCTCCTCAGGTCAGCATCATCTCCCACTTGGATGACCTCATCAGCAACCTAAGTGGTCTCCTTGGTTACAGTACTTCCCACTTCCAACCCCTTTTGTGGACTGCAGCCAGAGTGATCTTTCCAAAACACAAAGCTGCCGTGTCATTCACCTGCCTGGCACCCTCCCCACACCTGGGCAGGTAAAGCTAAATCACTTTAACTTGGCTTATGAGACCTCTCAGTCTCTGCCACTTCACCCCTTGCCCCTCTCCTCCTTGCTTGGTTGAATGGGCCATCTTCTCTCTTTGAGGTCTCCACCCATATTGTTTCTCTTGGAAGCCCAGCCTCCCTCCTCTTATCTTGGGGGCTGGTTCCTCTGCATTCTTCAGATTGCAGCGTATTTATCACTTCTTCCAGGAGGCCTCCCTGGACTCCCAAGTCTTGTTAAGATATCTCTGCTATATGCTTCTTCCAACAGTAACCTCTCCCTCCCCTATCATCTTACATATTGTGGTACAACTGTTGATTGAATGTCCATTTCTCCAACTAGACTGGAGAAGGCAGGAACCATGTCCGT